TGTTTCACTTGTTCTTTTGTCTTTTCACTATGTGGCACTTGTCCATTCTCTATTGTATCTTCTTTCTTTACCTCTAGGGAAGAGCTTCCTTCAACATGTACTGCGTCTACATCGTCATCAATGCTGGCGGTCTTATCGTCATTCTTTGAGGCAGCCTCTTGTGAAGCGTCGTCGTTARTGTTGCTGGWTGTGTTTGATTCAGCTTGTGTTGTTTCTTCTGTTTCTTGTTGTGTAGGCTCTGTAGGGGGTTTCTTTTCATCATTCCCRTCTTTAGTAGACAGAGARCTTCGAATGGATCCATTAGCAGAACTTACTCTACTAGGAGTTTTAGACCGTCCATCTAACAAAGCCTTGATCTCATCGTGGATATMTTTTGATATCTCATTCATAGGCATAAGGGTGAGGTCTACAAGTGTTGTATTGATCTTGATTGCATCTAATAAGCTTCTACCACCCTCATCACCTATCTTATTACCCTCTAAGTCTAGTGAACGAAGTCCTTTGTTYTCTTTKATACCGTCTGCTAAGATAACGGCTTCWTCGTCTCGGATATTACTAAAATCTAATGATAATGATTTCAGTGTGGTGTTCTGTTCCAAWGCACTGCTAATGATTCTCCATCCACTAAGACCAATATTATTCCCACTAATCGTCAAGTCCGTGATTGTGGTATTATTAAGCAGTAATCGCGCGATATCTGTGGCACCAGCATCACCCATCTGACAGTCCCCAAGGTCCAAATTAGTTATTGAAGTATCTTTGGTGGTAATGATGGCATCCAGGATAGCATGGACACCCATATCACTGATTGGATTACCATGAAGTCTGTAATGGAATAATAGAATATGATTATACAAACAGACGAACGGATGATCAAATGAATGGAAGAGTATATCAGCGAACGATCGAATGAAGGATCAAGAAAGAACTGAATTCGAATAAAGAAGAAATGGAGGAAGAAACAACAACCAACTGCATGCAGGTGAAATGGAAGAATGGAAGAATGGAAAACCGAACAAACAGTCGAATAGACGTCATAAACGAATGGGGGGAATCACCGAACAAACGATCGAACAAACGAACAAACGATCGAACAAACGATCGAAGACGTAACCAAACGAATGTGGAACTTACGAACAAACGATCGCATATTCGAAGAAACGATCGACTAGATGAATAAACGATCAAGACCTAGTACAAACGAACTAGGAACGAATGGACAGAAACGATCGCATGAAAGGCAACTGGATAAACGATTTTATCATATGTAGATGAACCAGTTTTGGCACGAATTATTTCATTTCAGTATATTTTGTATAATGTACATTGATACTCATATCTTTGTACATTTATTAATAAAGTTCTCATATTGTTCCTAAGGGTCTTTYTTAAAAATCGTATAAACGATTCAAAGAATTATATCAATTATTATTGAAACACATATAGTGAAATCAGAGTAAAAACTTACAGCAGCATTCGTATGGACCTGTTTTCTTTCAACAGATTAGCAATGTGTTCAGAGCCCTCTGGTCCTATTTTGTTCACGTTTAAGTTTAGCATCTGAAAGGAAAAATTCAAAAACCTTTTATATCATTGTCTCTACACTACACACACTATTACAGCACAGCCTGCGAWATGACACAGAGTACAAAGACCTCTATATTACGACCACCTTAAACATACAGGCACCTCAATATCACGAACACTTTTTCAACAGGCAATGAGTTATAAGAGAGTTTTACCTTRACGGTATTGGATTGATGTAAGGCGTTGGTTAGTTTCTCAATAGCTTCGTCGTCGATACCAGTGTTGCGTAGTGTAATGGATCCAACATCGTTCTTCTTRGCGATAACATCAACCAATTCCTCAACCTAAAATACAAACTCTACATCAATAACTCTATAAAAGACAAAAAACAAACCTTTTTATTACGACCATCTTTTGGACGGACATTCTATATTACACGGGCACCTCAAACCTCCGGCCTTTTTGTAATATTTTACTACAGTGAGTGGTCTGATTACGTTATTGAGTCAACTCTCATTAAAACGGATACCTTCGGGACCGTCATGAAGTATCAGTAATAACGAGTGCCCAATGTAAAAGGAAATCTTCACTTTGGAGCCAGGATTACTTAAGTGTCCGTAATAATGGAGTGTCCGTAATAATGGAGTGTCCCTAATAATGGAGTGTCCGGAATAATGGAGTGTCCGTTATACTGGGGTATCTAGAGATGTCTACCTGTTCAGGTTCCAGTTGTAGGCTAGTCAGCTCAATATCTTTTTTGTCTTCAACTAATGGTAGTATGGAACCTTGATGCTTGGCCCCAGGCTGTACTCCAATTACTTTCAAGGCCTGGTCGGGCAGCTTTTCCCCTGCGACGAGGTCAGGATCATTACCAGGATCGTGATCGGGTTCGTCTGGAGATACATCGGATGTGGTTAAGTTAGTATAATACAGATTATCATTATAATCATAATCACCTGTCATCAATCAATCACAATGACATGTATTGTATTTAACAAATATTCCAGTTTCGAATTCTCCAATGCTCTGTGTTAGCCTCATTTGTGCGCAAAATATTCGTAATTGTGAGAATAAAAGTGTGAGATTTCATATCAAATCTATTGTCTTTCTTTTCAAATTCCATGCGTTTTCTCGGCCTATCAATGAAACAAAAGAATATGTTACTTCGTTTTGAGGCTAACACAGAGCAAATCAGAACTCGAAATTGGAGTATTGCGCATAGTTTTAACTCATCTTATCGCGAGACACTCTTGACATTATGAGCACTAAACGAACCCACAAGTGTTGAAGTGTCAATGTTGTTACAGAGCTTGCAATCTTGAAAAGTAATAAATGTAAAATGGTACCTTTTTCATCCTCGCTATCACTGCTGTCACTGCTGCTACTGTCGCTGCTACTATCACTGTCTGATGGCGGCTCTGGTGAAACAACCTCTAGACTATCATCAACCGCAGGACTTTCCTCGGTTTTCTTCGTGTCCTCTTCGTCTGCAGTCGTGCCGTCTTCGCCTTTCTTCTCGTCAGTCAAAGCTGACATATCTACGTCATCACTCGGCATTTCTTCGGTATCACTCGTTACTGGTTTATCTTCTTCGTGGGTATCCGAGGGCTTGTCGACGTCTCCCGAGGTATCATTCGTTACTGGTTTATCTTCTTCGTGGGTATCCGARGGCTTGTCGACGTCTCCCGAGGTATCATTCGTTAHTGGTTTATCTTCTTCGTGGGTATCYGARGGCTTGTCGACGTCTCCCGAGGTATCATTCGTTATTGGTTTATCTTCTTCGTGGGTATCTGAAGGTTTGTCGACGTCTCCCGAGGAAACGTCATCGGCTTTAGTTGTGCTTTCTTCCTCTGGTTCTTCGGGAATGTCCGAAGGCTTGCCGACGTCTTCCGAAGAAATGTCATTTTCATCGGGAACATCAGATGTTTTCTCGTCGTCAATGATTTTAACGTCTTCGTCAAAGGAGACTGTTCTGTTAGCKCGCTTCATTTCCGARTCRGAATCACTCTCACCTTCCTTGTCCTTCTGGAAAGAAATGTCAATTTTTKTAATGATACTGAGATTTTACAACAGTCMGTTTTTGGGTGTAGAACYTTCTCGATTAGGGGCGCGTGTTATCTGAATGACTATAGTAGATAGTATAGAYACCATGAATGACATACAATGAATGAGAAAACCATTATAGTATTTTTTTTTCTTTGCTTTAGTGAGTTTGTAAGTGTTTTTCTTGACACTCTTGTCATTTGAAGCCTTCTTCTATTTCATACTACACTAGCATATTATCAGCAGCACGTTGTAAAAAAAAATGAAATAAATCAACTCAGAAATGAAGAGAAATATGAAATGAAACTTAATGAATAACTAAATAAACATGTACAAAAAAAAATAGAAAATTCAATAATACAAAATAAGAGGAATTAACAGTTTTTCTGAAGTGAATAATTTATCAAGTTAAGAGCACACTGGATGATATATTGCGTATAGTGGATCGATATAAGGGTTTTTCACACTATTTATTACTAATCGCCTAGGAACTCTTAGGTAGATTGAACAACTCAACATTCATGAATATTTAGATATCACTAGAATTCACATTTCATTTAGTAGCATGGCAGACTTTTAACTGCATAATTAATCAATCAACTTCCATGCTATAATATAATAATAATAACCATTATAACATAAACACTGGAAAAACGATTTCTTTGATCATTATATATCATTTGTTCTGTTGAATTCAAATCGATAGAATCAAAGAACCAAGCGATGCTATCAGGAGAGCAATATCTTATATCGATAATGAAAAGAATCTCGACACTTTAAACACCTGGAATSCGAAAATCGTCACTGATAATAACACTCGATAATGTAATTAAACACACTAATAAATATCAAATATCTAATAACTATTATTACAGAACGACTAACCTGAKGTGTAAGGATATCAGAGGGTTTTTGGTATGATATATCGACAAAATTATAAGGATTGGKCCTTGACAAAACTCTCAAAGCTGATTGGCTAACAATGCTGTAGAATACTGACAGCTGATTGGTTCTCTTGACATGTAAACCACGTGACATTCACAGGAACAAATCACATGATAATGTCCTATTGCGAGGTATTCGTATTGTACGGTTTGAAAAATCTTGTGAACATTCTGCAGTCCATTAGTACTGTAACATGTTTTAAATGTACAATGAATACAGCAGTAGGAATGAATTTTTTACTTGCTAATAATTCATGGTGTTTTATTAACACAGCCTGGGCAGTAATGACTGAAAAAGTAATATCTTCAACCTGTATGTAAATTCTTCTACGGTTTATCATTCAAGTAGCTCCACCAAAGATTCAATATCTTAATATTCGAGTTGGTTTTTSCCGAGGTTAATGCTAATGTAATGGATTTTAACCACGGATTTCATCCATTCTACTTTACACTCATCATTTCGTCGCCTGTTGTGGGAGCAGTCGATCAAAATCTAATTGAATTAGTGGTTAAATCAGTCCGAGTCGGTTGTAGAGTAGTCTAGGGTCTATTTTTATTGCGAAGAAAATTAATCCTTCGTTCGAAACCCTGAAGCTCTTGAGATGACTTTAAGTATAGTAATCTATCAGATTCAATTTATTTTTCTTATCTCATTTTTCACTTCCCATTTCTCCCTTTTTTGTAATTTCATATCTTCAATTTTGTTCTTTTCCTTTCCTATACTGAATTAATTTACGATTTGCCGTCTTCGTTATCTTAAATTTAAACGAAGTCCATATTCTACATCGAGTTCTAGTGTTTGTAGAGGACTCGACAAGCAATGATGTTCATTTATTTAAGTTGACATAGGCAATAATAGCCTACTCTAGACTCTATAAATACTACCATCGATAAAAAGCATAGTTTCATATAATGGTACTTGTGTAAAGACATACTTCTATTGACAGYTGAATGATTGATGATAATTTTTAAATCAAGGAAAAGATTTTAGAAGATATTATTGTCAAAAACTATCAATGAAAAACTTAGAGACAAACGAAATGCTTAATATCAAATGAATGGTAAAATAGGAAATCTATTGTCAAAGTACAAATAAAATGGAATATGAAGGTATTTGATTAATTGCATATACATGTATCTCAAGATATCTTGTCCTTCATATCCAAAACACGTCTTCGGAAATATATATAATAAATAAGTGCAATCAGCAATAAGATAACTGACCATYAAATCTGTGATTTTTTTTATTAACAATACACTTTTTTGCAGCTTATTTTGACAGTTTTTCTTACCTGTTTTGACTCGGTTTCGGTTTCATCATCAACTTTCTCGACTGGATTGTCGTCTTGTTKATTTTGCTTATTTGGARWAGACTCTTCTGTCTCATCAACAACGTCAACCTCTTCCTCTTTTCCATCCTCTTTGTCTTCAGTTTTCCTTCCTTCCGTTTCATCCACTACTCCTTCGTCTTCGTCTCTTTCATTTTTCTCATTTTTTATTTCATCTTTCTTTACTTCGGTTTCATCTACGACGTCTTYGCCTCCTTCTTCAGTATCAATCTGTTCTTTCTGGTTGTCTCTCTTTTCTTCAGTTTCGTCGACCACATCCTCCTCTACTTTTTCTTCATCTTCATTTTCCTTTTCTTTCTTTTCATTTTTTCTTTCTTCCGTTTCATCTTCTACTTCATCTTCCTTKTCGCTCTCATCAAGTTTCTTTTCTTCTGTCTTATCTACCACATCTTCTTGATTGTCTTTCTCGATTTTCTTTCTCTTTTTCTTCTTTTTCCTTTTTGTCTTGGTGTTTTGTTCTTCGTCGCTGCTTTCGCTGCTACTACTGCTGCTGCTGCTACTACTACTACTACTGCTGGTGCTGCTTTTATCACCCTTTGTTTCTTCCTCGTCTGAGTCTTTAGCTCGGTCTTCTCGATCAGAATCAAAATCGTCTTTGTACTCGTCTGTTTTCACTGGTTCTTCTTCTTGCTTTTCAGTGTCTTCATGTTTTTCTTTTCCTTCGTCTTTTTCGTCGTCTTCGAACTCATCATCCTCGTACTTTTCATCTTAAAAKGAAAATATCTTATTATCAACAATCCATCGATTCAAAGTAGCTTCTAACTGTCATTATTGTCTTAAGGTAGTCGCACCGGCTATTTGTAGGTCGTTTTTTAAGTAATTTTAAAGCATAAATTGCAAGTACTATATCACAGGAAGTGCGTAGCAAATTTTTGCGAAGGAATATGTTTTCTATTTCTATAGATTTCTGATGATTTTTTCTAACGACAGTGCAGACAGACAGACAAATCAATAGATACCGTTTTCTTCTTCTTTCTCTTTACTATTATCTTCAGCATTCAGCTCTTCAGGTTTTTCTTGSGCGGGGTCTTCGGTCTCTGTTTTTTCTTGTTCKTCATCACGAGGTGTCTGTGTGGCACTGTCAGTTGTCTCTTGAGAATCTGAGAATTATTGAACGATTATTACAGWGTGAGCAATAACTGATTCATCCAACACTACCTGTATTCCTCCACTCACACTTCCATTCATTTATTCTTTCACAATTCAACACAAATATCCATTTCATTATCCATTCATCCATCCATTTATTTATTAAAATACGTTTCATTCAGCATGCTAAGTGGTCATGGTATAAGCTCTTCAAACCAAGTGTCCTGAGTTCGGGTCCCGCCATGACCACCAGCTAAGTACTGATATCCATTTTTCAAATTCAGACTTTTGATTATGTTAGCAACTAGACAAACTGKTTCGCCTCTTTTGGAGCCTTTTTCATATTCGGTTATTAAATATTCATTTACCATAATATGTGAGCATTAGTCAGTTATTGAAWACCCACAAAAGACACCAGCTACTAACCACTGAACGAATAATACAAGTATTTATATGGTAATTACATATTCAGTTATCATAACCGTTAATTAATATMGATGTTGAATTAACCACCCGCATTACAGTAGCACCAAAATTAAACTGTTTTAAGATTAAAAATAAGGCGTGTTTATTGCTAAACATCTTAAACTTCCGCACTAGATTGAAAGATGTTAAAGCGAATGATGAATAATTAATATTTGAGATTAAAAGTTTTAATGCAATTAAACCCTTGATATCAGGTTGACCGAGGTTATGAATATTTGACCAGTATTGGTCAGTGCGTGTTTGGTCTTTACTTACGACTAGGAACAGTCATCTTATAACCACTTGGAGTTCGCTCAATCGTTATRCGTTCAACACCTATAGTAATAATGTACTTACGGATTTTAATACAATTATTATCCAATAGACTAACTTTATAAACACTTCTTTTATAGRAAGTTTATAGTCTAGGAACTAGCTCTGAGTAGCATTGATAATCGGAATTAATCTGTATTTCAGACCTCTATTTACGACCAAATATTAATGAAACATGTCATACTSTTTGTGTAGCCGGCCCTTAAAAAWCAAAATACAAGTAAAGTGTCCGGTTTGGCGAGTACCAGCAGTTTAGGGAACTGTTTTCACTAGTTTCATTCAATTCATTCAATAAGTGTCCGTAATAGCGGGTGTMCGTATTRTGGKGTGTCAACAATACAACGACCATACTATTGAGCTATCTACTAAACAAGATCTAGCGTTCAATAAATGTACCTTCATTTTCGTTGGGTTCAACCTTGGTTATGATTACATCAAAAGACTGGCTGTCTCCTTCCTCCTGCGAAAACAAAATTGGATAAAATCATGTCATTCACTAACCTGTAAATATAGCTGTCTCCTATCGCTCGCATTCACTCTATCAGGCACTTGATCTACAGCGAGCCATGTGAGACGTCTGTATTCGCATGCTGGGCACTGTTTAGTGCTTATCGCGAATATTCAATACCTTGGCAATACAAAACAAGGACAAGTACCTCTGTCATGAATGTTTTATCATCATTGTCTTCGTTCTCTTGTTTACTAGACTGTTTTTCTCTGGGACTTCGGACACCAGAAGCAATTTGGCACCTGGGGAATCATTTTAATGTTAACAGAATAGAATAAAACAACAACGGCAACCACAACAACGATAATAATAAAGAGACAGCAACAACGACAATAATAAAGAGACAGCAACAACGACAATAATAACGGCGACAACAACAACAACGATGATAATAACGGCGACAACAACAACGACGACAATAATAGTGGAGACAGCAACAACGACAATAATAACGGCGTCAACAACGACGATAATAATAGCGGCGACAACAACAACGACGATAATAATAGCGGCGACAGCAACAACGACGATAATAATAGCGGAGACAGCAACAACGACGATAATAATAACGGCGACAACAACAACGACGACAATAATAACAACGGCGACAACAACAACAACGACAATAATAACGGCGAAAAAAACGAAAACAAACAACGGCGAAAATAGCAACGACAACAACAACAATGACAACGGCGAAAATAGCAACGACAACAACAACAACAATGACAATAATAACGGCGTAAACAACAGCAGCTTACTTGTAACAGGGTGCAGCTCCTTCAACCTGTACAAACTGGAAGTGTCCATTACGACCCCCTAGTATATGACCAGGTTTATGTTTGTATTCACAACAAGAGCTCAGTCTAATATCTTGCATGGAATCGATGTACAATGTCAAACCAAACGGTGAACCACGATGGCGGCGCGATATGAATGTAAAGATAGCTGAAAATGAAATAAGAATATTGAGCAGAACGGCCTTTTCACAGACTCCCAACCTATATCAGCTAACAAGAACAGGCTGCAAAAATAAGTAAAAAAAGACTTAAACCTGATCTACTTATAGTTTCTTATGCAAGTAAATTTCCAACTGTGATTTGGAAATCATCAAATATTGTTATCATCATGAATGTCATCATCATCATATACACCCTTCTAATAAGTCCCGAGGTATCGAGTTCTCCGCACTTGACGTCAAATTTATTCTTTTGAAATTTTTACAATACAAAAGGAATTCAAAAGAATAAATTTGACGTCAAGTGCGGAGAACACAATACCTCGGGACTTATTAGAAGGGTGTATATAGACAACATTACTTTATCATCATGATCACTAACTGAATTTCATTTAATCATGCAATAATACTTACTGTTCGGCGGTAAAAGTTCTCTAAATACACACAGCGTACTTCCACCACAGTGTTGCTGTAACACCATGACTTCACATAATCGATCCTCAGGAAACATACTGTTAGTTAGAGTCAGACTGGGACCAAGGAACTTCATAGTGACCTCTGCCATGGACTGCAACTGATAATGTGCCATTTCAATGACAAGAATACAGTGGTGATAATGTTGTCAGATTGTATGCTTACCTGTACTCGATGAGCTACAGCAGGTTCTGTCCTTGCAAGATAATGAAACTGTAATGCAAAAGCATACAACATCAATGATAGTCAACTCCACATTTTAATATTATTAATGAATTACATGTAATTAGCACTCACCCTATGTGGTCTAGTTTTCCTGCGTGTGGCTGAGGAAGTACTGGGTCTAGTYCTGCGTGGAGTACCTGTGGGGGGAGGAGCRGGGACAGGGTATGTAYCAGGATATGCTCTTGTGTATGGTGAGTTAGGATCAGAATCATCTCTCAAGTATGCATTCATCGCAGTTTCTTGACCACTTTCAACCTAGACAAATATAGGTAATTATAGCCTGTTAACTCAAACATTAGTGTTTAATAATTGTAGAAATTGAGGATAAATACACTGTAAAGTGATTAAATAACTATGGCCTAGTATATGCAGTCATCATCATCATAATTATCAACATCAATCATCATCATCATCATGGTCATCATCAGGGTTAGTCAATCATATTACATCCATAATATGTACTTACAGTGTAGCAGAGTTTCCCTGTGGCTTCATCATACTGGATATCTGATGGGTGAGCTGCACTCATGTCTTGTGATGATCCTGCTGGTGCAGTTGAAGGTCTGACATGTTTCCGTGCTTTACGTCTGGCTGATCTTTCACGTGGAGTCAGTAATGGAAGAATGTGCTCATCACCTTTTCTACCTCTTTCATCCTGAAAATACATATAATATAACATCACTTGACGCAGTCATTATTATTTCTTGTCATCACCATTGTTTGTTGTCAGCAACATCACTATCTGCAGTGCTATTGATTCCATCTGTGTATGTATTAGTCTCCTTACAGACGTGTTAAGATTTGATCATGTGTCACGCAACCTCTCCACATGTTGCGTGACAGGTGACTGAAACTAAACACAGCTGAGAGGAGACTATGTATGTATCAATGTTTTAAAGATTTGATAAAATCACATCAGTTCACTCAGAGCACTCTATCCTTTACTCAACATCTGTAACTTGTTACCACGGCATAACTTTTTGTCATCATCATCATCATCATATGATTTATGATATTATCATTGACAATTATTGTCATCTTTATCATCATCAATCATCATCATCCTCATCACATGATTTATTAAATTCAAAATAATGTAAAATGTTGCTAAGGAACAAGCACAATCTGCATAATTATAAGCAAAATACAGAATATTAAGAAAAGATAAGTCAGAATAATGGTGCAATGACAGGATGAAGCATTTATCAAGAAATAGAAGAAAAGAGCTAGATCTCACTCACCTCACCAGTATCCTCTACCTACACAGCAAGATACAGTAGGTAGATCACGTACGACATAGAAGAGAATTGAGAAAAGATACAAGAAGATAGTAGAATTATGAACAAGTTAAAGAAATAAATGACTTTGAGCAGTCATCATCATCATCATATAGCAATTGATGTCATCATGATGCATGTTCATCATCAATCATCCAGAAGAATAGAATCTAGATACTGCCTATCATCTAGAATATAATCTAGATACTGCAGTCATGCAATGAACTGGTAATCATAAACCTATTTGATCTGTGAAATCCCAAGTTCTTTGGCTCCAGATACAGAGATCCTTGGTACATGTTATTGAACAAGTTTAATACATTGTTGAAAATTACATCTGCAGTAATTACCTTCACCCTTCTGACTAGCTCCACTTTGTAAATCTCATCCAAACGTTTCCTGATTTGATACTGTCTGTCCCGCTGTTAATAAAAGTTCAATAGATTAGAGTCTAGATTTTCATTCAAAATAATTGAGTGAATTTAATTGGTTTCACATTAAGTAACACTCAGACAACTGGGCTACCTGTGGTTTAGCAGCCTTTCTTACCTCCAAATCAAGAGCTTTATGTAGGATTGCTGTAGCTAAAAGGTCTCTAACATGCTTTCTATGTTCTTTCTTGGCCATATTGAGTCTGTAGGTTTTTTCATCTATGAGCTTACCTTTTTTAGTTATCTACATAGAGTCAAAAACATATTCAATAAGCAAATAACAACTTTAAAAGCACTGCATGTTCTAATCAATAATTCCAAAGATTTCCTCATCAGCTCTATATTAATTAAGACTATGATTATCAAAAACTTCATTGATTATTTCATAATCGGAGCTAACCTAAGTTACAATGAGAATGATAGATTTCAAAGTTCATCTAAAATTAGTGCACAATTTGGATGTCAAATTCTATAACCCAAGGGTTGAAATAATCCAGCACCCACAGACAGTAATATATGGCTGATATTGTGAGAGTCTGTGTAGATCATTAATAAGTAATGTAAGTTGTATATATTTACCAGTCCTGACTTCACAAGATGTTTCTTCATACGATTGTTGTTAAAGTACCCAGCCAGGTGTTTATCCTGGAGGCTGTTATAGGCCTCTAGTTGGCTGCATAGAAATAAAAACTCATTTACTTTATGGCGATATAGTTTTTGAGAACAAACATATCATGTGTCCAATAACTTTGTGACTGCTATCCTTGAAAATAAATTTCAATTGGAAAAAAATAATTTCTGACCTTGCTGGGAAGGACAGATGAATGGGTTAAAACTGAAATGGATATTATACAATTCTTCATCCAAGTTTTTTGTTGCATTTTTTGTTGTTGTATAGACTACCTGTTTCTCTTTGTTTAATGAAAGTTATATTTTTGAGGGTGAACCGTTACTATTTACTCTTTAGGATAGACTACCTTTAGCCTAAATTTCTCTAGCAATCTCTGAAGGCTGCTTGATGTCCTTGATTCCACAAAAATAATACATATGGCAAACAAATAATGGTATTATATAGCGAGAACTAGCTAGAAGGATGGCTGTTGTACTAATAGACAGACATCAGCAATTCATTCTAGTTTTTCATCTCATCTATATTTTATTCAATTATGTTCCTATCAGTTTTACCACATTGAGTTTCATTTGAATTATGAATCATAGATCTATCTAGATGTATGATAAGACTTCCATACTTTTCATTACAACATTCTTTTAAAAATACTGTCTTACTTTATAACATAAAATTTGGATGAATATTATACATGTATAATACATATCATATGGTCACATTACTGTCTTGAAATTTTTGCAATTTTAAATAGAGTTTTGTTTGTTTGAAGTTTTTAGTATCCAAGTAAGTGTTGCTATGGAAACAGATATATTACCTTATTAGATGTTTCTCAATTCATAATGAATACACTTAAGATAACAGTAAAGAAGTCTTCAATTGTTCTTATAGTCTTACCAAGAGAAAGAATAAACTCAACAAAATGTCTAAAAGTGTTTGATTTCTTGATTGATTTTCTTTTCTTGACAAGAGGATACTTTGCACCCTTCTGTCAATATTGTTGACTTTTGTTTACCTTAAACTGCAGCGCTAGAGATTCATTTTAATCATTGATAAGTCAAAGTTGAATTAATTTTACAGAACTCTATTTCTATCCTTTAAATTTACAAATATATACATTTAATGTAAAGAATGTAAATTTTGCTTCAATTTATAACTTATTTTGATGGTCACACTTCATTAATTCCATTACTTGTCCCATACTGGGCTGTTTGATATTGGTACCTTTGATTTCTGTGTTCATTTAATAATTGTTTAACACTAATACTATTATATTGCGTGCATACTCAATGTATAGTATACAGTAAAGCACAGAAGTGTTAGGAGTTATTGTTTACCTGGATTAGAACAATACTCAGATTTTACCAAAATTTGCATTTTTTAACACTCAATGATCCAAGCAGTCAACATATTAAACACTTCATGACATGAATCAAAAAGCTATGGAATACAAAATCCAACAAGGAAATACTATACAATATAGTACAATGATTCTATCTTGGTGATGCATAAAAGACAAAAATTAACATTTACATTGGATTTCTATGAGCTTGTTGTATCCAAGCCAAAGATACTATCATATGACGTAGAAAAACAAGCCATTGATAATATCCCTAGTATAATGAATAGCACTATGATATATAATAGTCTGATATATTCAATGGGGTATCATTATCAGCTTGGGCACTGTCTCTGTAAAATATTCTATTGTKAACTATTGAATGACACCAGCACAAAACAGATGATTGTCATTACTTTTTCTCACGCTAAAACCATGCCAAATACAACAGCAAGTTAAGAAAATTTTAAATTGGAATCTTCTGGCGTTTAATAAACAAAAAATTCAGGAGAATGTCATAAAATGATATCAGGGAGTTCAATAGAATTATCATCGCTGTCATCTTAGTCCTCTAAAAGGGTGTCTACGAGTTTTATCTAAAAAACACATTTATAAAAACAGGTTGAACTGAAAGTGTATGTCTAAAATATCAACAATAGAGGATTTACGAGGACCATCAGACTCATCGCCTATTTCTGTTGTTAATAAGTTAGCCATAATTAAGAAAATATCACATCCGAAAGCCATTACGCTGTTTGTCACAACAAGAGTGAACGGTTTTACAGGGATATAACCCAATGAGTTAAGCCAGGAAATGCCTAAGGACACTGCATAAAGAGAAATGCTTTTACTTCGCTGTAAGGAATAGCAAAAAACATATTCCGCAACGATATATTTTCAACAAAAACTTGTGGCTTGATGTAATAAAGCCTTTGGCACGTTTGCTAGTGAGTAGAAATTTGGTGTTGAAATATTGAATCAAATCTTAGACTGTAAGCTCTAATAAAACACATTGATGTGGTTCATAACTAGTATTGTGTCTTATAAAGTCTTAATGATTTATTTCTAGAGTTAAAATATGACCAAAAACATGAATAAACTTACCCTGGTGCAGCGTGGCTCATGTTATCCTTGTTGSTGAACCAATGAGGTMTTGTCCAGTGCTGAGCGGCTTCAGCGTATAAACTGATAAATATGCCCTAATTCTAAGCCAAAATAATTCTTAAGATGCCCATAGATATGAACTAAAAGCCTACCGATTTTGAACGGAAAAGCCGTGAGGCAATACGTTCAAATCAGCATTTGAAGAACANGAAAATAGCAACGACAACAACAACAATGACAACGGCGAAAATAGCAACGACAACAACAACAACAATGACAATAATAACGGCGTTAACAACAGCAGCTTACTTGTAACAGGGTGCAGCTCCTTCCACCTGTACAAACTGGAAGTGTCCATTACGACCCCCTAGTATATGACCAGGTTTATGTTTGTATTCACAACAAGAGCTCAGTCTAATATCTTGCATGGAATCGATGTACAATGTCAAACCAAACGGTGAACCACGATGGCGGCGCGATATGAATGTAAAGATAGCTGAAAATGATAATAAAATATTGTTATTATCATCGCTGTCATCATCATCATATACACGCTTGGTATTGTGTTCGCAATTGACGTCAATTTTTTTACAATACAAAAGGAATTCAAATGAATAAATTTGACGTCAAGTGCGGAGAACGTAATACCTCGGGACTGGACTTAGATGGATGTATATAGACAACATTACTTTATCATCATGATCACTAACTGAATTTCATTTAATCATGCAATAATACTTACTGTTTGGCGGTAAAAGTTCTCTAAATACACACAGCGTACTTCCACCACAGTGTTGCTGTAACACCATGACTTCACATAATCGATCCTCAGGAAACATACTGTTAGTTAGAGTCAGACTGGGACCAAGGAACTTCATAGTGACCTCTGCCATGGACTGCAACTGATAATGTGCCATTTCAATGACAAGAATACAGTGATGATAATGTTGTCAGATTGTATGCTTACCTGTACTCGATGAGCTACAGCAGGTTCTGTCCTTGCAAGATAATGAAACTGTAATGCAAAAGCATACAACATCAATGATAGTCAACTCCACATTTTAATATTATTAATGAATTACATGTAATTAGCACTCACCCTATGTGGTCTAGTTTTCCTGCGTGTGGCTGAGGAAGTACTGGGTCTAGTCCTGCGTGGAGTACCTGTGGGGGGAGGAGCAGGGACAGGGTATGTACCAGGATATGCTCTTGTGTATGGTGAGTTAGGATCAGAATCATCTCTCAAGTATGCATTCATCGCAGTTTCTTGACCACTTTCAACCTAGACAAATATAGGTAATTATAGCCTGTTAACTCAAACATTAGTGTTTAATAATTGTAGAAATTGAGGATAAATACACTGTAAAGTGATTAAATAACTATGGCCTAGTATATGCAGTCATCATCATCATAATTATCAACATCAATCATCATCATCATCATGGTCATCATCAGGGTTAGTCAATCATATTACATCCATAATATGTACTTACAGTGTAGCAGAGTTTCCCTGTGGCTTCATCATACTGGATATCTGATGGGTGAGCTGCACTCATGTCTTGTGATGATCCTGCTGGTGCAGTTGAAGGTCTGACATGTTTCCGTGCTTTACGTCTGGCTGATCTTTCACGTGGAGTCAGTAATGGAAGAATGTGCTCATCACCTTTTCTACCTCTTTCATCCTGAAAATACATATAATATAACATCACTTGACGCAGTCATTATTATTTCTTGTCATCACCATTGTTTGTTGTCAGCAACATCACTATCTGCAGTGCTATTGATTCCATCTGTGTATGTATTAGTCTCCTTACAGACGTGTTAAGATTTGATCATGTGTCACGCAACCTCTCCACATGTTGCGTGACAGGTGACTGAAACTAAACACAGCTGAGAGGAGACTATGTATGTATCAATGTTTTAAAGATTTGATAAAATCACATCAGTTCACTCAGAGCACTCTATCCTTTACTCAACATCTGTAACTTGTTACCACGGCATAACTTTTTGTCATCATCATCATCATCATATGATTTATGATATTATCATTGACAATTATTGTCATCTTTATCATCATCAATCATCATCATCCTCATCACATGATTTATTAAATTCAAAATAATGTAAAATGTTGCTAAGGAACAAGCACAATCTGCATAATTATAAGCAAAATACAGAATATTAAGAAAAGATAAGTCAGAATAATGGTGCAATGACAGGATGAAGCATTTATCAAGAAATAGAAGAAAAGAGCTAGATCTCACTCACCTCACCAGTATCCTCTACCTACACAGCAAGATACAGTAGGTAGATCACGTACGACATAGAAGAGAATTGAGAAAAGATACAAGAAGATAGTAGAATTATGAACAAGTTAAAGAAATAAATGACTTTGAGCAGTCATCATCATCATCATATAGCAATTGATGTCATCATGATGCATGTTCATCATCAATCATCCAGAAGAATAGAATCTAGATACTGCCTATCATCTAGAATATAATCTAGATACTGCAGTCATGCAATGAACTGGTAATCATAAACCTATTTGATCTGTGAAATCCCAAGTTCTTTGGCTCCAGATACAGAGATCCTTGGTACATGTTATTGAACAAGTTTAATACATTGTTGAAAATTACATCTGCAGTAATTACCTTCACCCTTCTGACTAGCTCCACTTTGTAAATCTCATCCAAACGTTTCCTGATTTGATACTGTCTGTCCCGCTGTTAATAAAAGTTCAATAGATTAGAGTCTAGATTTTCATTCAAAATAATTGAGTGAATTTAATTGGTTTCACATTAAGTAACACTCAGACAACTGGGCTACCTGTGGTTTAGCAGCCTTTCTTACCTCCAAATCAAGAGCTTTATGTAGGATTGCTGTAGCTAAAAGGTCTCTAACATGCTTTCTATGTTCTTTCTTGGCCATATTGAGTCTGTAGGTTTTTTCATCTATGAGCTTACCTTTTTTAGTTATCTACATAGAGTCAAAAACATATTCAATAAGCAAATAACAACTTTAAAAGCACTGCATGTTCTAATCAATAATTCCAAAGATTTCCTCATCAGCTCTATATTAATTAAGACTATGATTATCAAAAACTTCATTGATTATTTCATAATCGGAGCTAACCTAAGTTACAATGAGAATGATAGATTTCAAAGTTCATCTAAAATTAGTGCACAATTTGGATGTCAAATTCTATAACCCAAGGGTTGAAATAATCCAGCACCCACAGACAGTAATATATGGCTGATATTGTGAGAGTCTGTGTAGATCATTAATAAGTAATGTAAGTTGTATATATTTACCAGTCCTGACTTCACAAGATGTTTCTTCATACGATTGTTGTTAAAGTACCCAGCCAGGTGTTTATCCTGGAGGCTGTTATAGGCCTCTAGTTGGCTGCATAGAAATAAAAACTCATTTACTTTATGGCGATATAGTTTTTGAGAACAAACATATCATGTGTCCAATAACTTTGTGACTGCTATCCTTGAAAATAAATTTCAATTGGAAAAAAATAATTTCTGACCTTGCTGGGAAGGACAGATGAATGGGTTAAAACTGAAATGGATATTATACAATTCTTCATCCAAGTTTTTTGTTGCATTTTTTGTTGTTGTATAGACTACCTGTTTCTCTTTGTTTAATGAAAGTTATATTTTTGAGGGTGAACCGTTACTATTTACTCTTTAGGATAGACTACCTTTAGCCTAAATTTCTCTAGCAATCTCTGAAGGCTGCTTGATGTCCTTGATTCCACAAAAATAATACATATGGCAAACAAATAATGGTATTATATAGCGAGAACTAGCTAGAAGGATGGCTGTTGTACTAATAGACAGACATCAGCAATTCATTCTAGTTTTTCATCTCATCTATATTTTATTCAATTATGTTCCTATCAGTTTTACCACATTGAGTTTCATTTGAATTATGAATCATAGATCTATCTAGATGTATGATAAGACTTCCATACTTTTCATTACAACATTCTTTTAAAAATACTGTCTTACTTTATAACATAAAATTTGGATGAATATTATACATGTATAATACATATCATATGGTCACATTACTGTCTTGAAATTTTTGCAATTTTAAATAGAGTTTTGTTTGTTTGAAGTTTTTAGTATCCAAGTAAGTGTTGCTATGGAAACAGATATATTACCTTATTAGATGTTTCTCAATTCATAATGAATACACTTAAGATAACAGTAAAGAAGTCTTCAATTGTTCTTATAGTCTTACCAAGAGAAAGAATAAACTCAACAAAATGTCTAAAAGTGTTTGATTTCTTGATTGATTTTCTTTTCTTGACAAGAGGATACTTTGCACCCTTCTGTCAATATTGTTGACTTTTGTTTACCTTAAACTGCAGCGCTAGAGATTCATTTTAATCATTGATAAGTCAAAGTTGAATTAATTTTACAGAACTCTATTTCTATCCTTTAAATTTACAAATATATACATTTAATGTAAAGAATGTAAATTTTGCTTCAATTTATAACTTATTTTGATGGTCACACTTCATTAATTCCATTACTTGTCCCATACTGGGCTGTTTGATATTGGTACCTTTGATTTCTGTGTTCATTTAATAATTGTTTAACACTAATACTATTATATTGCGTGCATACTCAATGTATAGTATACAGTAAAGCACAGAAGTGTTAGGAGTTATTGTTTACCTGGATTAGAACAATACTCAGATTTTACCAAAATTTGCATTTTTTAACACTCAATGATCCAAGCAGTCAACATATTAAACACTTCATGACATGAATCAAAAAGCTATGGAATACAAAATCCAACAAGGAAATACTATACAATATAGTACAATGATTCTATCTTGGTGATGCATAAAAGACAAAAATTAACATTTACATTGGATTTCTATGAGCTTGTTGTATCCAAGCCAAAGATACTATCATATGACGTAGAAAAACAAGCCATTGATAATATCCCTAGTATAATGAATAGCACTATGATATATAATAGTCTGATATATTCAATGGGGTATCATTATCAGCTTGGGCACTGTCTCTGTAAAATATTCTATTGTKAACTATTGAATGACACCAGCACAAAACAGATGATTGTCATTACTTTTTCTCACGCTAAAACCATGCCAAATACAACAGCAAGTTAAGAAAATTTTAAATTGGAATCTTCTGGCGTTTAATAAACAAAAAATTCAGGAGAATGTCATAAAATGATATCAGGGAGTTCAATAGAATTATCATCGCTGTCATCTTAGTCCTCTAAAAGGGTGTCTACGAGTTTTATCTAAAAAACACATTTATAAAAACAGGTTGAACTGAAAGTGTATGTCTAAAATATCAACAATAGAGGATTTACGAGGACCATCAGACTCATCGCCTATTTCTGTTGTTAATAAGTTAGCCATAATTAAGAAAATATCACATCCGAAAGCCATTACGCTGTTTGTCACAACAAGAGTGAACGGTTTTACAGGGATATAACCCAATGAGTTAAGCCAGGAAATGCCTAAGGACACTGCATAAAGAGAAATGCTTTTACTTCGCTGTAAGGAATAGCAAAAAACATATTCCGCAACGATATATTTTCAACAAAAACTTGTGGCTTGATGTAATAAAGCCTTTGGCACGTTTGCTAGTGAGTAGAAATTTGGTGTTGAAATATTGAATCAAATCTTAGACTGTAAGCTCTAATAAAACACATTGATGTGGTTCATAACTAGTATTGTGTCTTATAAAGTCTTAATGATTTATTTCTAGAGTTAAAATATGACCAAAAACATGAATAAACTTACCCTGGTGCAGCGTGGCTCATGTTATCCTTGTTGSTGAACCAATGAGGTMTTGTCCAGTGCTGAGCGGCTTCAGCGTATAAACTGATAAATATGCCCTAATTCTAAGCCAAAATAATTCTTAAGATGCCCATAGATATGAACTAAAAGCCTACCGATTTTGAACGGAAAAGCCGTGAGGCAATACGTTCAAATCAGCATTTGAAGAACAGGTTTTGGTTGTCAAGGACTTTATTGTGTCCCGTTGTCGCTACAGTATACAGTGACGTCACAACTACGAGGGGGACTAAGTACGAGCTTCTGAAAACCACAGGAAGACCAAGAACATTTTTTAAAAATTTAAAAATTTAAAAATCGTCCTTATTTTCTTAAACTTTTAAAA